AAGAGTTTCGACTGTCGAGAGGATGAGGGGGGGGGGGAGGGGCTCTCGGTGTTTATAAACTCTTGTAAAGCGGTATCGCCCGACAACAGCTTCCTGCTCTGTTTAAAGCTTACGGCGAATTTCGCCGTTATCTACTGCGAGTGCGAACACTGCAGCATTGTAGCTTACGGTGAATTTTCACCATGTCACTGTGAGCTACGTTGAATCAAGCTGCATCAGTGCAACCAACAGCACCGACAGTTCCATGCGAACATGCTGAATGTACAGGGTGGTCCACAGACCCCTTCCTTTATTTTGCTTATACCCTACCGCGTGCAGGCGTGCGTGCGGGCTTGCCTGCCCTAGGTCGCCGTTGCGCCTTGGGGCCCCGTGCGAGTATACAACCTGCGTTTCTCTTTGGATAAATTTTTGCAGAAATTTAAATTGCCGAAATGTGTGCAAAATTTGTTAATTCTTACCATACAAATCCAGTTAGTGTGAAGAATTCGTTCGTATTGCGGAGGACTTGGCTGCTGCGTAGGCTTACGAATGAATTTCTTCACAATTATTGCGAACGATTTGATTTGCTTTGTAATGCGTAAAGCTTTTACCAGCGTGCTGGAAGATCGAAATATGTGAGCAGACGTGTGAGTGCCATGTTGTCACACGTTCAGCGACGCGAACGTGAAAGACGTGAGGCGGACAGGCGGGGACACAGAACAGCGCCGCACTCGCTCGCAGTCCTCCCCCTCCCCCTTCCCCCTCCTCTTCCCGAACGTTTCTACGCTTCCACCCATGACTATGACTGGCGCAAAGGCTTGACCATTTTTTTTGTTAAATATTTATCTGCCTCTTTTCCATACGCTTTGTAGCCGTGTGATAAAATCAAATCAACGTGTCAGTGTCACTGAACTGAAAGCATGCTTAGAAAATCAAGCGCGAGAATACCGGGTGTCCAGGCTAAGACATGCCAGTACGTTGGGTTGCCTCTGCACTTGATGCAGGGACCGGGGGGGGGGGGGGCAGAGGAGTGGTTTGCGAGCTGCCACTTCCCCGCTATTCCCCCGCGCCTGCAGCCCCTGCAGCCAGTGCATAGGCAACCCAACGCACTGGCATGTCTTAGCGTGGACATGGACACCCCAGCTCGTTGTTGCGGGTCTGTCAGTACGCGTACTTCTAATGTACCCACTTGGTTATCCGAAGTGCACAATAATAACTGATTAGCTCGCCGTTTAGGCATTAGCGGCGGCACCGTTTTGCCTCTTCTGTGATAAAAGAAAAAACAAACAAAACCGAGGAATCCCCTTTCCGGCCGTCCAATTATGAACCCCACACCGCCTTGCCTTAAGCATTTACTACGTGGGATTAATAAAATAACAGCCCCGCCCGCGGCCCGCCCCCGTGCCCGCCCCCCGAGGGGGGCGGGGGGGGGGGGGGGGGGGGGGGGGGGGGGCTGAGGGGGCTGAGGCTGGCGCGCGACGGCGGCGGGGGAAAAAAACAGCTGACTGTACCCATGCCAATGGAAGTCAAGCCCCGCCATGGCGTGGCGTGGCGTGGCAAGCACGCCCACGACCGTTTGCTTTTCCTGGAAACTGCTTGCAACACGAACGCCCGCCTTTCTCGCGCCGTTCTCTCTCTTCTTCTCCCTCTCCCTTTCTCTCTTCCTCTCCCCTCTCCCCCCTCTCTCCCACCCTCTCTCCTTCTCTCTGCTCTACTCGGCCGCACGCCCATCCCGTGCCATCGACGTGTAAAGCTATTCAGATCGAATTTAAATTCCATTCCCAATTCAAGCTTGCGCGCCCCGCGCTCACTCTCCCGCTCCTCGCCCTCCCCCTTCCCCCAGCTTTCCCTCTTGTCTTTCTCCTTTCCATTTCTATTCCCCTTCCCCGTTCCGGGCGGCCGGGCCATCAAGAGGCTGTGCATATGGTGACACGACCTCTGTCCCCGCCCGTACGCCCCACACCACCACCACGCTCTGACGCCCCCGTACTGCACGGAGCAGGCGGCGGCTTTTTCCCCAGCCGCCACCACCTCCTCCTCCTCCCTCTGCTGCTGCTGCCGCCACCGCTCCCCTCCGCCGCCTCCCTCCCCTTCTTTTTCATCCCCTAAAAGGAACCCGTATAATTAGCGTTTCTTTCCGCACTGGCACGGCGGCCCCGTAATTCAAACCACCGCCGTCTCGCTCGCTCTCACTCTCTCGTTCCTGTCATTCTGCTCCTTATCCCCCCCTCTCTCCCTCTCTCTCTCTCTCCGGGCCTGGCACGGGCCGGCACACCACCGCTGCACGTTTGACGACGCCCGACGCCGGCGTCGTCGGCAGCGGCGGGTGCGGCTGGCAAACAGCAAATGCGTGGCCGAGGCGTGGTGCTCGCGAACATTGCGCCCTGCGCCCTTCCCCTTCTTTCCTCTCCCCTTTCCATACCTCCCCTCCTCCCTCCCATCTTCGCGTCTCTCGCATCAGTGCCGACGTCCTCTTCCTCTTTTCCCCTCCGCGCGCCCTTCATTGATTACACCCCTCCCACCGTTTTCGTCCTATGTTATGAAAGTGACGGATGTAATAGTACGCGAGTTTACGATGCAAAAAAAAAGCTGACACCTTAAAGTTACTTCTATATTCTTTATGTTGAGTCAAAAGGTTTTTAAGGTATCATCTGCTAAAAAACATTGAATAGAATAAAAGAAACTTATTGAACACTCGAAAACACCCTGGCCACCCACCACTTTTCCTTTCAACATTTTGGCACGCTCCTTTTTAAAGGGCAAATAATTTTTGGCGTCCTTCAATGGCGCCAAACTTGGTCTTCTTATTTGCCTACAAAATTTTGGTTCATTGGAAAAACACAAAAAAAGTTTTAATTTTCGAAGCAATTTGCGGGAAAGTTTCACTGTGCTCTCTATACCTCGCGCTGTCTTCCTCCTTGTTGCGTTATTCCACTTTGCGTTCTCGAGCCGCCCATCGCGCGCTGCCGGGCCAGCCACTGCAATCCCCGGCTCTGTTTGCATTCTGCACAACCACTGGGCTCGCTCATCCCTCACGGCCGGCCCCGCAGCAATGGCGGCAAACGGAGCACAATTTTCCGATTTTCAATAACGGGCCTTGTTTGAATTTCATGAAGACGTAATCCCGCTAAGCAAGAGGCTGGCCCGGGCCCCGGTGGTCCCCACGCGGCCCGGAGCCGAGCGAGCAACGACGTCTCGCTAAGCCCCGCTGGCTCATGGCGCGTAAACCAAACCGCGGGGACGGCGGCGGCGCGGCGTGGCGTGGCGTGGCGGTCGGGACTTGTAAACGGCTTAGACGGCGGAGCGTGACGGGGCGCAGTGTGGCGGGGCGTGGAAGGGCATACGGACACCACCGCCC